ACAGACCCATCAATCAATGACTCACACAGACCCATCAATCACTGACTCACACAGACCCATCAATCAATGACTCACACAGACCCATCAACCAATGACTCACACAGACCCATCAATCATGACTCACACAGACCCATCAATCAATGACTCGCACAGACCCATCACTCAATGACTCACACAGACCCATCAATCAACGACTCACACAGACCCATCAGTCAATGACTCACACAGACCCATCTGAATGACTCAGACAGTCCAAATCATCAACGACTCAAACAGACCAATCAACAACTTAGAGAGAAACATACCAATCAAAGACTCAGACAGACCAATCGACAACTTTGCCAGAGCAATCTACAGATCAGTGAATGCCTGAGACAGCCCAATCAATGCCTCAGACAGACCAATAAATCAATGACTCGGACCGATCCATCAATGACTCAGACAGACCAATCCATCAACGACTCGGACCGATCCATCAATAACTCAGACAGACCAATCCATCAACGCCTATGACTCGGAAAGACCAATCAATGACTCAGGGAGGCCAATCAATAACTCAGACCAATCACCGACTCAGACCAATCAATCAATGACTCGGACGGACCCATCAATCAATGACTCAAATAGACCAATCAATCCAGCACTCAAACAGACAAATGAATGACTCTCTCTCTCTCTCTCTCTCTCTCTCTCTCTCTCTCTCTCTCTCTCTCTCTCTCTCTCTCTCACACACACACACACACACACACACACACACACACACACACACACACACACACACACACTTGCAACACATTCTCACTCTGGGTCTGTGCCGTCATTAAAAACAATACCACAATTCCCAGACAAGGCTGCAGTGTAAACACACGCTTGAAGAGGGGTACTGATCTCCACAATGCCTACATGTCCCCATGTGTTCACTGTTAATGAGATTCGTCCGTGGTGCGGAGGAAAGCCTCCTGAGGATGACCGTAGGGCAGACGGTCGAAGCGCGCCGAGGAATGTGAGCATTCTGACTTCTGTGCAGCACGTGGCTGTGGAATTTTTTTTTTCCCTTCAATTTGAGTTCGTGTTCAAGAGCACACCGGTCATTGCTTGCCACTATTCTTTGTTAACGATGAGGTTTCAGTCGCACACACACACACACACACACTGGAAACAAGTTGCTCTCTTTCCTTTTAAGGTGAGAGAGAAACAAATTCTTTTTTTTTCCTTTTGGGGCGAGAGAGAAACAACTTCTCTCTGTCGCGGTTGTGAAACCGCGTCTTCCCCCGATTAGAACGCCCGGTCATTGTTGCTGCATCTGGACTAAGGAGCTATAATGACCAGATGGACTTTTCTTTTCCCCCTGCGTTCTATTCGGCTGATGACGGGAGTCGCGAGGTCATAAAAAGGTAGTGGCTGGCGGTTTCATCAGTCAATCAAAACCAACAAACCCTTGTAGCTATTAATCGATCGATCACCCAATCAATCCTATAAGATCCCAACATCAGGGGGGGGGGAAAGAAAAAAAAAAAAAAGGGATGTATTTAGGGCAATTTTCAGTCCAGATGCAGCGATCACCTTTGCAATGCAATCACTGTAAGTTACTGGTCAAGGATGACGCGTCAATAATCCGATAAGACCCCAAAGCAATCATCCGGTCTGCTCACCAAAGAGAGGAGAACACCAACATGACGGGAAAAAAAAAGAACAGTTTGTATTCGGGGCAACTTGCAGTCCAGATACAGCAATTTCCTTTGCAGTGCATTTACCGTAAGTTCGTCATTTGCTGCCGGAATTTCTCCCGTCTAAGATTTTCTTTTGGCCTAATCAGCCTATAAGGCGATAATTAACCAAAGAGTAGACAAACGCTTCCCATTGCGGGAATTATACTTAACAAAAAACAGAAGAAGAGGAAGAAGAAGAAGAAGAAGAAGAAGAAGAAGAAGAAGAAGAAGAAGAAGAAGAAGAAAAAGAGAGGATAGCTCCTAGACTTGTGGATATCATTCTTCCTCTGGCGTCATCCATGGTTTTTTTTTTTTTTTCTTCTTTTTTTCCATGGTTCAAATCTTCTTCGTCATTTTTTTTTTTTCTTTTTTCTTTATCTTTTTTCAAAAGGCCGACGGTCTTGAGATATCGTCAAACAGAATATGTATATATCGTCACACAGTGTATCGGAGCGCAAAGGCGAAAAAAACAAAACATGAAAAGGAAAGAAAGTATATCGTCAAACAAAAACTGCCCGGTAAAGCGTAGGCAGAGAGGAGAGGGAGGGAGAAGAGGACAACAAACGAGGGAGGGGCTGTGACAGACAGACTGTTTCGTCGGAGTTTCACCTCCCTACTCATCAATCAGTAGAGGCTGAACCCTCAAACACAGTCTGCAGCAGAATCCCTTAACTGACTGATTACACTGCAAGTGATAATCCACCTTAACGCCGGTTAAGGCTAAGCATGAACGACTGCCCGACAACTGATACCCCTCTGAGGAGGTGGGGACCACCAGATGGAAAACTCTACAGACTGTCGGTTCACACCCCATCACAAGCCAACAAAACACCCACGAAACAAAGAAAGGTCTCTCACAGTAAAAAAACTGTGAGACGGTAGGGATCAAAGACACACAGATGATTACACATGGTCATTACAGCTGTATTAGATGCGATTTTCAGACTAGATACAGCAATAATGACCGGCCGTTCTACTCGAGTGAAGACGGTAGGGATCAAACACACACACACATGATTCTTTCTCTAACGATGCTTTCTCGCTTCAACCTAATTACTAAATTATCTTATATTGCAAAGTAAATTATCTTATATTGCGAAGAAAATTATCTTATATTCCGAAGTAAATTATCTTATATTGCGAAGTACCCTCCCCTTGTGATACGTAGCCCGATTCAAAAAAGAAACAACAAAATCTGGGCCCGGTTCTCCGCACGTGCTGCTCCCCACGAATAGAATGGACACCATCAAAAAACAAAAAAAGGGGGGGGGGAGGGGATGTTTTCCTTAGAAAGTGGGAGAAAAAAAAAAGGGGGGGGCGGAGGGGGGGAGGAAGGGGGGGGAGGGGGAGAGGGGGGGGTGTAAAATCCCCTTCCTCTCCATCACTGCTTCTCGCTGCCCCATCCATCCCCCCAATTAATAAAAAAACATCACCCACCCTGCCTTTCTTTAAAGATCAGAATCACATCGTAAAAGAACCACGGAACACTCACTGAACACTCACCTCGCGACATTCGGAAGGCAGTCATGATTGATGAATGATGCAACGGGGTAGATGGCGTAGGCTCTGGCACGTGGCACTGCCTTCGTCCTGACACCGCCATGGCCGTCGTCTTCTACCTGCAAGTCCTCATACATCAGAGAGAAGGAGTTCCTCTCCTCCTTCTGTAGCAAGGCGGCCGTACGATCCAGGCAGAACCACGCCGGCTTCTTACCACGTGGCAGCTCGATCGCTTTTTCCAGAAACTCGTGAATCATCACTGCTCTGTCATCTCTCCCCCCGCCCTCTCCTTCCAGCTGCATCAGCAAATCCATCACACTGACAAACGACGATCCATCACCGTGGACGCTCTGAACATTGCCACGTGGACACGAAGATGACCGCACGTCTCCCGCCATCGCCATCGGCAGCGATGATGACGACCACAACCTGCCGAACACCTTCCTTTGACCCGTGCTCAGCCACGTGGCAGCCGCAACAGATGTCGATGTTACCCGTAATGATGATCCATTACTAGATCCCGCCGTTGATGATATCGGAATTACTACATCTGAGCAACACCCTCCTCCTCTCCCTCCTCCTCTCGCTCCCCCTTCTTCTTCTTCTTCTTCTTCTTCGCACTTCTCCTCCTCCTCCTCCTCCTCCTCCTCCTCCTCCCCCCTAATCTTCTCTACGCTTTTCCCGCCAAAATCGAGTTGGAGATGTCGATCGTACGTGGCGATCAGGAAACGAGCATAGTCAGCCACCTCGCTTAGATCGTTGATTGCAGAATCCGACAAAGATGAGGATAAGAAAGAAGATAAGGTCTGTAACCAGTCATGGATGAGGGACAACGCCTTGCATGAGAGGTCAGAATGACAACTGCGAGAAGCCGCCACGTGGCACTGCTCGTCGCAAAAATAGCATTCCCGACATCGCTCGCAAACGACAAGCAGCGTCCGCCACGACGATTCATCTTTCCCCGGTAATGCCGATGTCTGCTCCCGCATGCGAAAGCAGTAGGCGCAGCAAATGGTCTTTGCATTGTGTCTAATCGCAGCAACCAGTGGCGATTCACGCAAAACTACCTCTCCTTCATGCAAGTCGCGTGTCGCGATCAACCCGCGCCCTCTTCCAGGGATCCACGTCACGTCTAACGGACATTCCATGCCCATCTCCATCTCCCACCCCAACTCCCTCTCTCTCTCTCTCTCTCTCTCTCTCTCTCTCTCTCTCTCTCTCTCTCTCTCTCTCTCTCTCTCTCNCACACAAGGAGAGAGGTGTCCACCGACCCACCCACAAGCACACACACACACACGGAGACGGACAAAGAATCGCTTTCTGTTTTCTGCGGATGCACGCACGTACGCACGTGCATAACAAAGTCGAGCACGCTCACAGAAGCACACAACGCATACGCACGGACTGCTACACGCCTTCTCACATCCGCAAATCATAAATTAACGAGAACTGCGTTGAATATCGCTGAGCGAGACACAGCCTGAACGGCATTTGCCGCCTTTCCTCTCATTCTCGATTAACTTGAACCCAATTACTAAAGTCCACGGCCGTGCACTGATTACTCGATCAATCAATCAATCAATCAATCAAATCAATCAATCAACTCACTGATCAACTGCTGATCGCCGGTTATCTTTGAATAGATCTCATGATCCAGTCAACCGGTCAGTCAATGGATCGTGAGAGTGAGCATTCCCTGAGCATTCCGTGATGCATCAATCAGCTTGTCGTTCCTGGACAGATTTTGGGCCGCGCCACACCACTCTCGAAATGTGAAAAAGACAAAAATGTGGCGGGCGCATCTGGCCATGTTCTAGCGGGAAGTTCATTCTCATTTTGCACATATCGAGAGTGGTGTACCGATCCCCTTTCTCTCGAGAAAAGTAAAGAGAACAAAAAAAGAGCGATGGCCTTGAGAATTACGGTCAATGGGCCTCGCTGCACTACTCTCGAAATGTGCAAAACGAGACCGAATCTTCTGCTAGAACATGGAAAGATACATCACCATGATTTTTGTCTTTTGTGCGTTTCGAGAGTAGTGCAGCGAGGCCCAATACCTTTCTCGGTTCCGATCAGTTCAGTATCTGATCCGTGTTGTACTCCGACCAGCGACAGCGCTATCATCAGCAAAATCAAGGCCTGGATCAGGACCATGATCCGAGTTGACTGGGTAAGGAAGGCGCACAGAGGGCGCAAACCAAGAAGCAGACGATGGTTCCTGGTGACTTGGGTCAGAGACAACAGGCTCGCAGCTGTCACACTCAATGGGCAGTTGGTCATCACCCCCTGGCTTCACTCCTGAGCTCCCACATTCCTTCTTCCTCCCTCTCCCTCCCCTCACCCCTCTCTAAACCTGGGTGCTCGATTTCGGTTGGCAGCTGCAGTAGGCTGCAAGGGGCGGGAGGAAGGAGAGTGCCAATCCTCTTATACGGACAAGGTCCGCCCGTCTGAAGTGTTTCCAGGCCAGACCGAAGTAGGTCTGAGCTACCTCCTCAGCTAATATTAGAACTACACCCCACCCATTCTCCCCCCGCCCACCCCGACCCCCATCCCTTTCCCCCCTCTCCCTGAATTCCAGTCCCCGTTCACTACCCATTAGTACTAAGAGATTAGAATAGATATATACTGTTGAGTTGAGCTTCACTCCTCCAGCCTAGAGAGACATAGAGGACAATATGATGTTGGAATGGTTTCAAGTAGGTAGTTTTCTTTTAGGCAAGTGAGATGGGTATATACTGTTGAGTTGACCTCAGCTCCTCCAGACTAGAGAGACCTAGATGACAGTACGTTGTAGGAATGCTTTTAAGTAGGTTGACTTCTTTCATGTAAGTGAGATGGATATATTTTGTTGAGTTGAGCTTAGCTCCTCCAGCCTAGAGAGATATAGAGGACAGCACGATGTAGGAATGGTTTCAAGTAGGCAGCCTTTTTCATGAAAGTGAGATGGGCATATCCTGGGTCTCTAACAGGTCCCGTCAAAAGCGAAGCTGGCTAAGGCTGCCAGACTTTATTGGGAATAAAAATTTCTACCTTTAAAAAAAAAAAAAAAAAAAAAAAAAAAAAAGGGAGGCACAGTTAGTGGCAAAGGCTCGGTCCTTGTGGTAGGCGGCCCCCACCGACGGCCTGCACCCTAAACGCTGGGGCGAAGGGGCAAGCATGCATTGACCTCTCTCCACTCAGAGAGGTAACCTACTAACCTCCCTTCACGGAAGAGAGGTAGGAAGCTATGCTTGCAGAGGTCCCCTGGGGCGAGGTCCTATTGGCAAAGACGATTGGATTGAACACCTGAATCTGGACTTGTTGGTGGAAAGGTGCAGAATGTCGAGATTGAACTGCTTTTCTGCATCTCTGCTTAAAACAAGTCCTGCCCAAGAAGGCTCAAACCAATGGGCCTAGCTCAGCTGGTACACCCATGAACTGGTGAAATGCAGACCCTAAAGATAAACCCATTGGTTCAAATCCAGGTGCAACCAGCTGACCTAAAGAAAACTATTCTACCTGGGGCAGGTCAGTTAATGCTGATATCTCAAGGCCGTTGCCCTTGAGTGCACGTGTGAGTGGGTTGCCTGTTGTGCTTGGGAGAGCGTTGGCTTTAGACACCACTGTTACTCGTGTGAGTGGGTTGCCTTTGGGAGAGCGTTGGCTTTAGACACCACTGTTACTAGATGGGGATGGGGGCAAATGAAAAGGGAGGCACAGTTAGTGTTGAGTACCTTCCCATAAAATAAAGAAAAGGCAAATACTGTCGATGTTGACAAATCGCTTGAAGGAAGCTATGCTTGCAGAGGTCCCCTGGGGCGAGGTCCTATTGGCAAAGACGATTGGATTGAACACCTGAATCTGGACTTGTTTGTGGAAAGGTGCAGAATGTCGAGATTGAACTGCTTTTCCGCATCTCTGCTTAAAACATGTCCAGATCCAGGATATTTCTTTGCAGTGAAATGAAATGTAAATGGGCGGCCGCAGCGTTGACTGTTACCGCCGCAAAGCGGCGGCCTATTTAATTTCATTTGGGGATCATGGGGGGCACGCAACCCATGCCACTGGCCCGGCGAAACATCCAGGAGGCACGCAGTGTTGGCCCGTCTCGGAGTGTTATGCGTTCGAGACGGAACCCTTGGACCATGGTCCTGTATAGCCTTAGGAGTAGGGGTAGGTAGGTAGTGAAAGAAAATATGCCCCATGACATTGCAGTGTGACGAACCATTTTCTGTAATCATGTGACTTTCTGCGCGAAGCTGCTTTGGGGGAACGGGGCGGGTTAGTCGGGTGAAGTACGTAGGGATGGGTTGGCTGGGCAAGTTGCATGGATGCCCTCACTTCTTTTTCGTTTTCCTTTTCGATTTTGTTGGGCCAGTATCGGGAAAAGTCCCGCGTAGGCAGTTAGGAGACCGCGCCTTAGAGAGCGCGAGAAATAACTGTTGCCATAGCTTCCTTCTTGTTCTGCTCGGGCTAAGGGGAACGGGAATTTTGGCGCGACGAATGCGCGGGAATGTCGTTTTCTTTTTCGAAATTTCCTGTCGAGCCCCCGTGGGCTCCTCGAAATTGTTTTCGAGTTTTCATTCTTCGGAATTTTCTTTTTCTGCAATTCGGACTTAGATAGGAGTTTAGGAACTTTGAAATTTTTGTTGCGCTGTGCTTCTTGCTTGCGCGCGGCTTCCTGCGGCGGGAGCAGAGTTCTGACTGAGTGGCGCCCTTAATCCTGCGTGTGACTGTAACTTTTGGCGGGCGCAATTGTAACTGTATCTCTCTTCTTGATTCTCTCGCCTTCTTCCCGCCTCCTTTCTTCCTGCTATGCATGTGCCTCCCTACGATCTGATTGGCCAAGACGTTGCATGCTCAGATCGATGCGTGGAGAGTGGCTACGTCCCCCACGTCGCGGCCTGGCCATGCAGAAAGTAGGCACTTCCTTTCTCCTCCCCTCCTTCTCGAAAGCGCAATCCCGTATTCGCCGCGCATACATGCATGCTATAAATCTTGCGAGCGCGATTAAAGCTCTCTCTCTAAGAAATTCGGGACATTTCAAGGTTTAGAGCGACCAGTGAGGGTCGACTAACGTGTAAGTGAAGAGGTGAGTTGATGTGGGAGTTGGGCGACCCGACGAGCTGGTGTTGAGTATGCGGGGTTGACGTGCGGGCCGCGACGAACTGTGGCGCACGGGCGAACCTGGCTTGCGTACTTGGGCTAAGCGGGGTGACGACTCGGTGTTGGTGCGAGGCGACGGACTGCCCGCATTATAGGTGATGTAACGTGGAAGAAAGAGAGATAGAGAGCGATGTGTGTGTGGGATGATGCCTTTCTCCAATCTTCTGTCTAAATTTTGATTTCCACCTTGGCCGACCTTGTACGACCGTTTTTCCAATCCTCTTGAGAATCATGTTGGACTTTCTGCCTATGGTCTGTGTGTGGAATGAACTCGCGCACTTCCCTCACCCCTCCTCGCGCAATTTTTTGATGACTAGTTTAACTCGAAATTCGTCGTTTTCGTGCCCCCACCCTGCGCTCGGATTGGATGCGCCTCATACATGTTACGGAATTGCCAACCTTCAGATCTTGTGTATGGGGTGATGACTCTCTTTTTTAGATCGTTGAAAATCGGACACGACGATTGTCTAATAGGGTTAAGATGATGTAGGCCTCCTTGGTGGCATGGCTTCATGTACACACCTTTGTCGAGTTTCTTGTTTATGGTTGATTGATGCATGAGTTCGATCGATGCTTGAGTATGCATGATCAGCTTCCCGTTCCCTTTTGGACAAAAAAATCTAACAAACGCTCGGCGGTCCCGACTGATGTATGCCCTGACGGGTAAACGAATGGCTGATTCAAATATGTGATTGCCCACGTGTTGCCTTCCTGGTATCCATTTCTCGACGTACGCACGGGCTAACGACGGACCAGACGATCTCCCAACCAAAGGGATAGCTAGTCGATCTGACCCGACTGACCGTAAACGTGGTCTTGCGCAGACTCGATCAAAAGAAGCCCCCGCCTATACGCGCGTCTACAAGACCCGCGCTCGAGTCCATGTCTAAAACACCCAAAATCTCGATAGCATGGATGATAGGACTCCCTTCCGCATCACGGATCAGGAAATCCTGAGACACGACCGGTTTCAAGAATACTGGGAGTGGAAAAACGCTCATCTTCTCGCACAACCCCGCCCCAACCCTCCAAAATTCCCCTTTCGGACAGGAAACGAACGTGTCTGTGAATGAGACATTGAACGGGCACTAAGTGCGATCCCCTTTCCCTCCCATTTTCCCAGCTCGCACGTAAGCCACGTCATCGCCGAACCTGGTGTCGCCATCATTGAGACAGACTTCGCCCCCTACCGCCTCATGTTGCCTTTTCACTGCCTGACAGCTGCCCCGTGGCACGCACTCGCCTCCTACTGGCCGCGAACCCGCGACCCCCGTGCCCCGAGTACCAACAGGACAGCGAGTATCGAGCCGCGGGGTTCGTTCGACGAACCCGGACCGAAGCCGAACACCGAGCACACAG